ACGATCATCCAAACAAATCCATGTAAAACGAGAGCCAGCTCTTCCTTGTCATAGTCAGGTGACATGACACGCAACGTTTTCCCAGCAATTTTCAATGTAACATAACTCCTTGCCACCAGCTATCTACTGCAAAAAGCGGAAAGTAGGTTTAAATTTTCACAGTCGCAGAGACTAGAGTTACAATTTCCAGTGTAACGTTTGAAGGGATTATGATCATTTTTAACAAAAAAACAAAGCTCTAATGCTCCCGTTCTTCACGCATAATAGACCAAGAGTTTGTAAATTAACATGTTGACCAAAAAAAAATAAGACAAAGATGAAAAAGTTTAGAAAATCTTCATTTCGGAGTCATTCAAAGGGGCTTACCCCGTTCTTTGAGACAGCAATGAACAAGCAGGACACATCTTTACAAACACAGAAATGCAACTAACATTCAAACTACTTTCAAAAAAAATTCTTCAGACAATTTAGAGTAGTTTAAACATAGTCTTTCTTGTCATACCCTCCACCAGCACTTGCACTGCGGGGGGCAGAGTACGCCATCCTGGGTGCTTTGTACTTCTTTTCCTTGGGTGGGCAGCGGCTGCACAGCATTGCTCCTCCGATCAGGCAGAGGGCGGCTGAACCCCAACCGATATAGAGAGATGCTCCAATCTCTCTCTTCTGAGGATTAATCGTTGTTGGATTGTAGAAGTCCCGGACAATGTTACTGGCAGACCAAGACACAGGAATCAGGACCAAAAGGCCTGCTAGGACAAAGAAAATCCCAGAGATGATGACCACTTTGGCCTTGGATGCCTCATCTTCTATGCAGTTGGTGCACTTGGCTCCTACAAAGAAGATCATGATCCCCAGCACTCCGAGTATTATAGCGATGATTGTCATTGCCCTGGAGGCTTGAAGGTCCTGAGGCAATTCTAACATGGAGTCATAGGACTTGCACTGCATCTGACCTGTACTTTGGACCACGCAATTCATCCACAAGCCCTGCCAGATATTCTGAGCCGTGATGATGTTGGCGCCGATGAACGCTGACACTTTCCACATTGGGAGGGCGCATGTTACGATTGCAAGAATCAATCCAATGAATCCAAGGGAAATCCCCACAATCTCCAAGCCCATCGACATATTGAATAGATCTTTACCGAAAGTCCACAGAGTATTCAACAAGCAAAGACTGCTACTGTAGATCAAGGCAAAGACTGTGCTGCTTTGTTATTCAGTTGAAGTGAAGCACCTGAGAGGGATTGGATGGAGCTGAATGCTGCTGCCACAGCAACAGGATCCTTTATACCTCAGGGGAGCAAAGAGGAGTGTCAATGATGTCAACAGGAGGCTGTCTTCACAAACACACACACACACACACACACACACACACACACACACACACACCAAAAAATGTCAACGTAGAGCAAAGCATAGGAGCTATAGAGAATGGATGGAGGCAGGGTGTGACTTTGTGTATCAAAGTGTGTGGTTAGAGGGAGAACAGAAGTAAAATGACTCCTGACTTCCAAGAAAAATCCACAATTTGTTTCCTACTATGACTGCACTCCCCAATGACTTTTTCATATGTTTTCCACTGGCTTACTAGACTAAAGTGAAGGACTTAGTCTGTTTTGTCAGGCAAAGTGAAGACAAGTTGACAAAAAAATGAATTTTTTTTTTTATCTCACTCTGTTTTTTTAGCCACACTATTGACTTAAACGAAGGATGTGAAACAAAAGGCAAGGCAAGCCAGTTTTATATACAGTATATGAGAAAACACAATAGGAAAACACATTGCTGTGGCATAGAGGTAATTTAAAAACTGATGAATATGAATATACAAGAAAATATAAAAAGACAATTAAAATGACTAGCCTTAACTTAGCCTTAATCCACTGGATTTTGCTTAGATAATGGAAATAAAAAATAAAATGACTGATAATACCATGAAAGAAAGTTGGATTATAAACTTAAACTAATAATGTTTAATTAGCACTCTCTTTAAACACTTTCAACACGTTTTTAAACTTGGTTTAAAGCAGTTTCATATTAGTGAAGCATAAGAACTGACCTCTGCTTCTCCATCTTTAGTTCTGGTTGTTGGTATGCAGGCTTGACTAAAGAGTCAAAAGACGTTACCAGTCTGCATTGCGTTTTGGTGCTAAGCCATTCAGGGATTCATAGACTAATAGAACTGATTTAAAGTCTGTTCTCTAAGACAGCAGTCCCGAACCACCGGGCCTACCGGTCTGTCGGTCATTTGGTACCGGGCCGCACAGAAAAAAGTATATATATATATATATATATATATATATATATATATATATATATATATATAAAATTTATCGACGATCAGAGTCTGAGTGATGTTTTTTGAAAAATATAAAAAGTTGCGGTATTCTCTCCCAATTACATCAGTCTGTGCCTCTTGACACAGGTTAATTCAGTTCAAGACTCATCCTATCTATAACATCCTATCTTTGTGAAGCAGGATTTTTCTGCGGTTACAGCGACCAAAACAAAGCTACGGTGCAGACTGGACATCAGGAGCACACTTCGTGTGTCATTGTCTCCGATTACGCCACGATGGGAGCGGCTTCCTTTATTTTTATGCTATTTGTATTTGATTTTATGCCAGTCGTATCATTTTACTTGATTGTATTTACCCCCCTGCCCAGCCGGTCAGCGCGGGGGGGCTGGCGCGGTGGGGAGGTGGGAGGATGCGTTGGTAAATACGATCAAGTAAAAAACGGTCCCGCCCCCCCTGGTCCATGAAAATATTGTCTGACATATAGCGGTCCGTGGTGCAAAAAAGGTTGAGGATCGCTGCTCTAAGATATAGGAAGTAACTAGGCTGATGTGCTTTAGATTTCCAGAGAGAATGAGGAAGCTGCATTCTGGATTAACTGCAGCTATTTCATCATCTTTTTAGCCCTAA